CTATCTACATTACTATTACTATTATTGCTATTGCAACGAACACTACCACCACTACTACTACTACTACTACTACTACTACTACTACTGCTACTACTACTACTACTGCTACTACTACTACTACTACTACTACTACTACCACTACCACTGCTGCTACTACTACTACGAGTACCACTATTACTACTGCTACGTTTGTTGCGATTACGGCTGCTACTATCACTTATACTACGAGTTTCATTATGTTTATGACCATGTCCATTGCTACCATCGCTATTATTACTACTACTACTACTACTACTCCTACTACTACTCCTACTACTACTTCTTCTACTACTACTACTACTACTATTACGCTACTACTACTACTGTTACTACTGCGTTTACTACTACTACAACTACCACTACTACTACCACTACTACGACTGATACTACTACCACCGCTAATAGTACTACTGCTACCGCCACTACCACTAACTAGTACTAGTATCACAGCGTATACCATAACTATTACCATCACTTGTACAATTCGTAAGACTACCACTACTACTAGTACTACTACTTCTACTACTACTGTTATTACGACTACTATTAACATTACCCCCTAGTATTGAGACTAGTAGTACTACTACTACTGCTACTACTAGTACTACTACTGCCATGCAACTACGATCATGCTACTACTATTGTTGCTGCTACTACTACCTACTACTACTAACACCACTACTACCACCACTACGACTGCTACTACTACTACGGCTTCTACTACTATTGTTGCTACTACTACTACTACCAAACTATCACTACTACGACTACTACTACTACTACTACTACTACTACTACTACTACTGCTATGGCTACCACTACTACTACTACTACTACTACTACTACTACTACTACTACTACTACTAATACCACTACTACTACTACTATTACTACTACTACTACTACTACTTCTACTACTACTACTACTACTACTACTACTACTACTACTACTACTACTACTACTACTACGATTACTGTTACATCTACTGCTACCGCGACTACTATGGCCAGCTCTACCAATATTGTTAATGGCCATCTGTTACTACTACCATTACTTGTACTACTGCCACTGCTACTACCACCACTACGACTACGAATGCGATTGCGACTATGGCGACTGAAATCTATTACATATGACAGATAGTATCACGCCTACCACGTTGAGGGCGACGACGACTACTACTACCACCACTACTACGCACTACGATTACGACTGCTGCTACTACTACTACTACTACTACTACTACTACTACTACGACTATTATTACTGCTACTATTACTATTACTACTACTACCACTACCACGGCTTATCCGAGTACTACGAGTACTAGCAATGCGACTACTTCCCCTACTACGGCTCCTACTGCTACCAGAACTACTATTACGACGGGTTGTATTAGTATTACGACGGATATTAGATTTAGTACCCACATTACCACTGCTCTTACAACCATGACTGTATTACTTTTTCTGTCATTGGTATTACTATTACGATTATTTCTACCACTACTACTACAACTACTCCGGCGACTTGTATTATTACTACTACTACTACTAGTACTACTACTACCACTACTACCACCACTACTATTTCGACGACGACGACGACGACTACTACTACCACTACTATTATGCATACTACTACTACTTTTTCTACGGCTCCGATTACTATTACTATCACGACGATGACTATTACCATCAGCTCTGCGATTCGTAGTACGATTACTGCTACGATTACTGCTGCTACTAGTATTATTACTACTAGTTCTCTTGTTGCGACTCCCACGACTACTAGTATCACGGCTACGACTACCACGGCTACGACTGCTTATTGCTACTATTGCGACCACGACTACGACTACGACGAGTTACCATCACCACGACTACGATGAATACGATTATTTCTTCTAGGACGACGGCGACGACTTTTTGCAATACTTCCACTACTGGTACTCCCACGAGTACTACTGCTACTACTGCTACTACTACTACTACTACTACCACTACTACTACTACGGCCACGATTACGACTAGTACTACTATTATTACCACTACTACTACTACTACTACTACTATTACTACTACTACTACCACTACTACTACTACTACTACTACTACTGCTACTACTACTGCTACGAGTAGAACTACCACATCTACCCCCACTACCAGTACTAGTAGTACTACTCGTACCACGAAGAAGGATATTATTACAACTACCAGTACTATTACGATTATTTCGATCACTACTACTATTACTACGACTACCGCGACTACCACGATTACCAGTACTACTACGACTGCTACTGGTATGACTACCATTTGTACCAATCGTATTGTTATCCCCACTTCCGTTATTAATAGCATTACGATTGCTATTGCCACCACCGGTTTTATTACCACTGCTACCACTACTACCACTACTACTACTACCACTACTACTACTACTACTACTACTACCACTACGACTACTACTATTACTACTACTACTACTACTACTACTTTTACTACTACGGCTACTACTACTACTACTGCTACTACTACTACTACTACTACTACTACTACGACTACTACTACTACTACTACTACTACTACTACTACGACTACTACTGCTAAGAACAATGGTGCTAGTACTACCACTATTACTATTACCACCATTACCACTATTACTGTTATTACTCTTGGTGTTGCTTCTCTTGCTACTACTACTACTACTACTACTACTGCTACTACCATTACTACTCTTATCACTACTCTCATCACTACTACTACTACTTCTACTACTACTACTACTACTACTGCATCTACTACTACTACCACTACTACTACGACTACTGCTCCCACTACTACTACCACTACTACTACTACTACTACTACTACTACTACTACTACGACTACTACTACTACTACTACTACTACCACTACTACTTCTACTACTACTACTGCTACTACTACTATTATTACTACTACCACTACTAATACTACTACTACTACAACTACTACTACTACTACTGCTACTACTACTACTACTACTACAACAACTACTACTACTATTACTACTATTATTATTACTACTACTACTACTACTACTACTACTACTACTACCTACTACCTACTACCTGCTACCTACTACCTACTACCTACTACCTACTACCTACTACCTACTACCTACTACCTACTACTACTACTACTACTACTACTACTACTACTACTACTATTACTACTACTACTACCACTACTAGGCAACGGACCGGCCTCCAGGCCGGGGCCGATGCGAACGGACCGGCCTCCAGGCCAGGAGTTTACCGACGGTGTCCCTTAGGGTCGTCCACGGAGTCTTGCGCCGAAGTACGACTTCAAAGAAAACTAAAAAATACAGGTAGCAGAAATAACAGTTCACAGGTGTTTTGCACAGCTTGCCAGGTGTGCAAAACACATGTGAGCAGCAGACGCGTCCGGCTTGGAGGCTGGTTCGCCAGCCCCCCAGCTTGGAGGCCGGTCCGCTGGCCCTCAGCCCGGTGGGGGAGGAGTCACAGGAGGAAGAGGAAGTGAAGAGTGGCTGTGCAGTGGTCGTGGTGATGTACAAGTGAATGTGTGTATGTGGCAATGAAGTGATGGTGCTGATGTACAGGTGTGTGTGTGTAAGTGCGTACTCGTGTTTCAAGAGGGTTCCTCGACTTGTTCGTGCGAATGTGTTTGTATATGTGGCCGACGAGTGCCATCATCGCATTGAACATACTCACCAACATCTTAAGGCCCATGAGGATTCGTCGTCGTAATCATGACCATGCTCACCACAGGCGTCATAATCATCAGCATAACTAGCACCATCATCAAGTCATAAACATCATAACCAACAACATCATCATGCTCCTCGTCACCATTGCCCAGCTTTGGCACGGTTGTGTTGCCTTGGCAATGTTTGCGGCGCCTTGCTATTTTTCGTAGGGCCTCCAGCCCTGCTGGGTTTTGCCGAACCCTGCTGTGCTGGTAGGCCCTGCTAAGCCATGGTAAGTCCTGCTGAACCCTACTGGGGCCGGCCAGCCACCTGCAAGGCTTCGACAAGCGTTGCAAAGCTCCAACGTCCTGGTACGCCCTGCTGAGACGTGGTACGGTTTGCTATACCCTGCGGAAGCTCTGGAGACACCGCTGAGCTTTGTGAACCTTGCGAAGCCCAGGTCAGCTTGGCGAGCCGTGTTTAGTCATGCTAAGCCTTGCCCAGCCCTGCTCAGCCTTGGCAAGATGTGCGAAGCCTGCCGCCCCCTGCCAAATGTTACGCCCTGTTGTTGTTAGTTGTTGCTGGGCCCTGCTAGGCCATGTTAAGACCTGGTAAGTATTGCTAAGCCTTCGTATCCCTGCTCAGGCGCAGTCAGGATTTGCTAGGCCCTGCTGAGCCTGCCAAGTGCTGCGAAGCCCTGGAAAGCTCTGCAAAGTCCTGCTAAGTCCTGGTACACCTTGCTGAACACTGCTAGCCATTGCTAAGCCCTGGAATATAACGAATGTGTTGTCAGCTTCCTCGTTTCAATAATCCCACGTTTACGATACCGCTCGAGAAAATATAATGTTAATGGTTTCCACTTCAGAAGCGCTTTCAGAAGACACAGTAACTTTGAAGGGGGCCGGAAGGCCCGACCAGAAGCTTCGCTTTAGGCGAAGCACAGCTCCAGCTCTGTTGTACCGTAGTAGCGATAGTCCCAGTCGTAGGAGGTCGTCGCGGGGGCGACGGGCCATATCAAGCGACAAATGTTTTCGGTCTCGATGGCGAATCGTATGCCTCGCAATGAGGCGGCCGGCCGCTTGAGCACAAACGGCCGCGGACAAACGCTCGTTATCTCTCGCCCTTGTCCCAGCTCACTTTAAAGTCAGTAAGCGGTCGGAGCTCCCGCTGACACTAGCGACGCGCGTCCCGATTCTGCACGATTTCACGACTCGACGCAGACCGATTTTGCCGCGGCCGCGGCTAGGACGCTTCACCCCGCCGGGCAGGGCCCCGCCACGGTCGCCGCGGAGCCGGATAGACCCTTTCGACGGCGCCCCCGACCGCGTGCACGAGCTTTACGCCGAGCACGAGCACAGGCCGCACCGCCGTGCCCCGGTGGCGCCGGGCAGCGGAGGCAATGGCCCAGGTGGGGGGCGGCATCGACTCCCGATCGCCCACTCGTCGCCGATCAGGGACTGGTTGCCCCAGCTTGCCCAGGAACGCGTGTTTTCCCAATCGGGAGCTTCTCGTTCCTTGGAAAATCGTGGGACACTGGTATACCCCTTCAATTTCGACCTTGGCGTCGACTCGCGCCGATTAGCGTCTGGAGTCGGTGAGATAGTGCCGATCTGGCATCGGCTAGCGTCGACCAGCGTCGACTTGACGTCGATCGGCGTCACCTTAGCGTCGATTAGCGTGGATTCGCAACAGCCGACAGGACGGTATGGAGGGCTCCCATGAGTTGTCACAGGACCGGGAACGTGTGTTCCCCATCGGGATCTTATCGCTGTTCTATCGGCGATGTACTGTCGATTCCAGGTAACTTTTGTTCCCCCTGGGCCAGTCCCCCCTCTTTCGGCTCCCCTCGGTGTCGTCCTTTTCGCCGTCGTGGTCGTATCCGGTCCATCCTGGCGTTATCCAAGCAATTTGACCCCGGGCGGTCATTCTGCGAGTACGGGATTGTCTAATTGATTAACCCCAACTTTGATTTTCTCGTCGAACCATACGTATAATGTTCGTAGATCTACGAACCGTTTACGCATGTTTCATGGATTCGACGAGCAAACAAATTCTGGGCACATCAATTCTGTAGTCGGTCCCCAATTTGATTTTTCGGCGTACTCGGTCATCAGAAGTTGGACGGGAATGAAGACAGCCCCCCGGGAGGGGGTCGGGGGTTCTGCGGTCGTGGCCTGAACGAGAGCATCGTCGGATGTCAGGGTAATTTTGTCTCGTCGTTGTCGTGGTCGCTATTGCCGTCCTCCTCCTCTTCCTCCTCCTCCTCCTCCTCCTCCTCGTGGCATCGCTCGGGCGTGTGCATTCTTCCTCGGCTAGGACCATCGAAGAGTATGTGTGTTCATTTTGCGAGAGAGTACGCACGAAACCGACAAATGCATGGGGAATGGACGTCAGAGCGATGGCGAGTCCTCCTCTTTGGATGAGAAACGTGCGACAAGGACGGCAGGGAGGGGGGGGGGCGACGAGACGTCAACCCGCCCATCCGCGTCTCAAATCTGAAGCGTCGGCGCTCGCAGTGCGTCGGCCTGTGTGCCGGGAGAGAGCGGCAAGAGTGGCACTTGGGGGGGGGGGAGGGGGAGGGCAGGGGCAGCGGACCAAAAAGCCGAGCCGCCCGTGCAGGCGGGCACGCGGGCAGGCGGGCAGACCTGCCCGAGGCCTCCAGCGAGGGGCCTTCGGGGGGCCCCGCCGGTGGCCGCCCCGTGGGGGGGACCGTCTGCGGGGGCCCGCCGGGCGCCTCCGACCAGGGGGCCCCCGGGCCCCAGGCTCCCGGGGGGCCCCCAGGCCTCACGTGCAGGCCGAAGCCGGAGAGAATCAGGAGGGGAAGAAGCACACAGACACAATGAATCGTCGACTCCCCAGAAAATATGGGGAACTATGGGAAGTGGTGGGGAAGACAAAAAACCCGGGAAATATGGGAAAATATGGGGAATCTTTTTATTTGTGTGTATTTATTTGTGTGTCCTGGGGCCCCTTCAGAGAAGCACCAGGACCAGAAGGATCCCCTCGGAGGTCTGCACCGGGGGCCCGGGCCATGCTGATCCTCGCCAGCCTTCTGCAGCGTGCGCAGGTGGTGGCGCGAGAGGGGCGCCCGTCCAGGAAGGCTGGTCGGGGGCGGGCAGACCTCCCACCCTGACACGTCGAGTAAGGGATTGGCCGTTTTCGTTTCGCGAGGGGGCGTCGCGGCCGTCATTTTTGCGGGTCCAGGTCCGTCGGTTTCGGTCCCAGGCCGTTTTCACTAAGGGGAGGTTTATTAAAGGGAGGTTTGTCCACCGCCGAAGTGGGGCCCCGTTCAGGGCCCCGCCGACAACATGCGGCAGGTTCGCGCCGTGTCGGCGCGGTGGCGGCCCTGACGCGGGCGTTCGATGTCCAACGCCGCCAGCGGCCCCGAGTCGTCGCCCGAGTTCGCCCGGTTGACCGGCGGAGTGGAGTGTGCAGTACGTGGAATCATATCACCTTCACTTCGGGGCCGGGGCAGTAGACTTGGGAGTCCCCTGGGTGCGGTGGAGAATTCGGCTTGTGCCTTTCCAGGTCACAGCGGGACAGGCGATTCCAATGAACAGGGCGGACACGGTTCTCCAAGGCGAGGATTTATGAATAACCACCGCTTGGAGGATTAAGTTTCGGAGGAGGATTTCGCCTCGGTTCACCTCAAGTTCACCTCGGTTTCGCCTGGCGGCCTGCCAGCGAGAGATAGTTCCAGGAGCGCCCATTGGAAGAGGGGGTTGACCAGTGGCAGGCATTCGCGTAGAGTCGGGGCGAAAGAAGCATGTGGGTGATTATTTCCATAGCGTGTAGGGTTGTTGACTGGCGAGCGTCGTAACCGACTATGAGTTATCGCCGAGTCCGAACTACCAATTGCTGAAAGAAGGGGATTGACTTCTAATCAATCTGCCACAAGTAGATACCCATTGTGTAAGTGCAAGTGCGTGCCCCCTTCGGAGATTCATCAGGCGCGATGGCGATGGGGGATGTTGGAAAGTGAGCAAGACGGCGAGAACGAGGACGAGGACGATGATATGGTCGAGGTTGAAGATCATGTCTATGAAGAGGACGAAGACGAGAAGTCTATATGTAGCAGGACGAGGAAGGTGAAGACGGAGGACGCCGACCAGGAAACAGCAGCAGCGGCCAATGCACCACGTGCCTGGTGAGGTCCCCTGAGGCCTCCACGGGCTTCCAGAGGCCTCTGGGGCCCCAAAAAGTTGGCGGCGCGCAGAAGGGGGGTAGGGGAGGGGGGAGGGCTTCTCAGAAGCACGCATGCTTCTTAGAAGGCACGGGTCTTGTCTGTAAACGTAAGGCCCGCTGCTTCAAAGAAGCAGCCTCCTCCTAAGAAGCCTTCCCCCCTCCCCCATGCCCCCCTGTGCGCGCCGCCGAAAAAGAGGCCGAACGCGTTCAAAACTCTCGACCCTCGATCCCCCGAGGCGAGCCAGGCGGGAGCAGCTGGTGGCGGCCAAGGAGGAGGAGGAGCTGCTGGCCCTCGAGTCCGAGCGCGAGGCTCCGTGCGGGGCGCGAGTGGCTGTGCTGCCCAGAGCCCCAACGCAGGGGGGGGCAGCGGGCATCTGCCTGGTCCTCTCAGGGACGCCGACATGGGGGGAACACTCCAGAACGGATTCATATATCTCTATATATGTATATGTATTTATTATGTATATATAAATATATGTATATATGTATACATATAAATTCATATCATACTAATACATAGATAAATAAACGGATATACATATATATACATATATATACATATTATAAAGATAATTAACATGTGATTTAATGTGTACTATCTTGAGAGCTTCACCCTCTGCCGCCGGCATCTTCGTTACTGGTGCGGCTGTGTGGACAGCGCCGTGGATAATTATTGTGGCAGTTTTCTCGACAGCGTCTTCGAGTCATTGGTGGGTTTTCTTGGAAGCCGTTTTGGAGCCTTTCGAGGCATATTGAGGGTCTCTTGGGGGTCTCCCTCGGGCCTCTCTTGGGACCGTCTTGGGGCCCTTTTGGGCCGTCTGGGGCGCCTCTTGGACCGTATTGGGGTTCTCTTGGCCGTCTTGGGGCCGTTTTGGGGGCCTCTGGGGCCGTCATGAGGGCTTCTAGGGCCGTCGTGTGGCGATCTTGGGAACGTCTTGGCGTCTCGGAGCCGTCGGAAAGCCGAAAAGGCGAGAAGGCCAAACATTTTCAAACACGTTAGGAACATCGTTGATTTTTGTTTCGTGGGACCCTACTGGGAGGCCTCTTGGAGAACTCTTGGGCCGTCTTGGCAGCATCTTGGGCCGTCTTGGGGCTATCGTGGGACATCTCGGAGCCATCTTGGGCCGTCTTGGGTTCCTGAGGTTCTCTTCGGAGCATCTTCGGGCAATCTTGGAGGCCTCTGGGGCCGTTCCGGCAGCGCGGTGGCGTCGTCGTGAGAATCTTGGGGTGGCCTGGAGCAGCCAGGATTTGGGGCTCCCCCTCCCCGTTGGGGCTGTTTGGGGGCGCGGCGGGGCCCCCGAGCAGACAGTAAACAGTCAGGAGGGAAAACAACACAGACAGAATTAATCGTCGATTCCCCAGAAAATATGGTAGAATATGGGAAGTGGGGGGGAAGACAGAAACCCAGAAAATATATGAAAATATACCGGAATCCTGTTATTTGTGTGTATTTATTTGTGTGTCCCAGGGCCCCTTCAAACAGGTGTCAGGAAGCAGGACTGGAGAGACAAAAGGCCGAACGATAATGACAACACGTCACACACGACAGCAGACCGCACACACTTTCGCAGCCCAGCGCCTCCGAGTGGGGCTGGTGGACATAGACATCTAACGGGGCACCGGGTCCAGGGGCCCGGGGCCGGGACCACGACCGCAAATGTGGGGCCCGGCGCGCCGGGAGCCCTGCCGGAGCGCCGGGGGCCGGCCAGGATCGCCCGAAGATGGCTTCGGAAACGCGCTCCGATGGCTCCGGATGCCTTTCAAGACGACTCCCATGACGCCAAGGAGGCCCCCGAAGGCCCCGAAGACGCCGCAAGAGGCACCCTGAGAGAGCCCCAATAGGCAACAATTGCTGATTTCCGATAGGAAAACTTACATGTTTGGTGTGTTCGCCTTTTGGGCTTCCACTGCGTCCAAGACGGCCCAAAAGGCACCCAAGCCGGTCGAGGATGCCCCCAAGAGGGCCCCACAAGTCGGCCCACGAGGCGCCCAAACCGCCCAAGAACGCCCCAAGGCGGCGCCCAAGACGGGGACGAGGAACCAGAAATTTGCGCCTGTGGGCCCAAGAGACCCCCAGCCGACCCCAAGAGGTCCCAAAGAGCGCCCAAGAAGCCCCAAGGGGCCCCCATGAGACCCGAAAAAACATCAAAAGAGGCCCCGAAGACGCCCCAAGAGGTACCCTGAGAGAGCCCCAATAAACAACAATCGTTGATTTCCGATCGGAAAACTTACATGTTTGGCGTGCTCGCCTTTTGGGCTTCCACTGCGTCCAAGACGGCCCAAAAGGCACCCAAGCCGGTCGAGGATGCCCCCAAGAGGGCCCCAAGACGGCCCACCAGGGGGCCAAGACGGCCCCTTTGTTGCCTCAACCGCCCAAAAGCGCCCCAAGTCGGTGCCCACGGGGACGACGAACCGAAGATTCGACCGTTTTGGCCCAACCAGCCCCTAGGAGACCCCAAGAGGCTCCAAGAAACGCCCAAGAAGCCCCAACAGGCTCCCAAGAGACCCGAACAAACATAAACAAATGCTCCGAAACAGCCCCCCAATGGGCCCCCACAAACGGCCCAAGAGAGCCCCAGGGCGCGCCCAAGAGGGTCGACCAGAGAGCTGGTCCGACTCTACACAAGGTCCGTCCCCCGCGGTGCCTCAAGCGGGTGTTGCCGCTGGACTCCTGACTTGCCTGAGACAAACTCCAAACATTTTTTCGCACATCGATTCCTGTGTCTGTGACTCGCTAGAACCTGCGCGCGCGCGAAGCGTGCGTGGTCCTAGAGTATAGATATATATACATATAGATACACATAGTTATACACATGTTGCTCCGTATCCATGTTGGCTCAAGTCTGGGGTGTCTCTCTGTTTCTCTTTCTCTCTTTCTATATATCCCTCTCTCTCTGGCTTGCACGTGGGATTCGTGGCCCACACTGCACTTGCTGTGCTCTGCCACTTGCGCGCAGGTCTTTTCCTTTTGTCATACCTATTGCACAGTCCTGTGCTGACACGCCTCTCTCGGCAGCGCTTGCGAGGGGCATGCCTGATGAAAACGGTGGCTTCATTTCTCGGCGCAGTGGGGTTGTTGATGGTGCTCGCCCTAAGCGTCAAGAACGAATCCGCGATCGTCCACACACCTCCGGCTTGCTCAGCTCAACATCTGAGGATGATGAACGTGTCGGACGCAGCCATATCGGCGAGGTTCGGCGTGCAACGGCCGCTTCGTGCCCGACCCTGCCTGGCGATGACATCATGGCCGCCCCATCCGATCCCCTCCAAGGTGCTGGCGATCCGTGGCAGGCTCATGCCAGCAGCGGCGCCGCTGCCAGTCATGGCCATGTCCAGTGCGGCGACCTCGACGCTATCTCGACAGCCCTCAAGACCGACATCGTCGCCTCGGTTGACGTCTCGATCAGATCCATGGGCAACAATCGCAATGGGAGCACCTCCAAGGCGCTGCGTGCCTTCGCCAAGCAACAGGAGAACACCAACGAGGAAATTGACACCCGCCTGCCCGAGAGGGACAGAAGGCAGGAAACGGCAGAACAAGAGAGTGCACATATGCTTGCACATGCCGCGGAGATCCAGAAGGCCCTCCTGCAGCGCGAGCAGTAGGTGCCCCAGTTCGACGCGGTCGACGCTGCCAACTTCTCTCGCGAGGTTGACCTCGCCATTTGCACGGCGAGCTCTAAGCAGTTGATCACGCTGGATGCAGCCTAGGCGTCGCTGAGCCAGTAACTCGCGGCCGCCGTGTTCACCATCCCCGAGCACTGCCTCATCGAGGGTGACATTCCTGGTCGTTGCTATCAAGTAGGTTTCAAAGGAACTGATGGCCTGACAGCTGAACGCGCGGAACGTGCTGAAAGCGAATGTCTCGGGCAGCAGGATGGAGAATGGATGTGGTTCTCTATTGTCACGCCTGGCGGCGCTGCTTCCGACGTGTTTTCGCCCCTTGACAGAAACGGGCAAAACGACCCGTCGCGAAGTTCAAAGTAAGACGTGCTTTAAGCTTGTCGTAGGTATTGCCCCCCTGGCCGCTGGATCGCATCTCGCACCTATGGGGCCATCTTCTGCGGGTCGACGCCGCGCGTCCTCGCGCTGGTGGGTGGGCGGGGGACTCGCCTCGCATACTGATGCGGGGTTTGATCGTGGCGCTGTCAAGACTGCGTTCGAAGGGGCTCCGCGGCAGCGCAATCAAAGTTCAGTGGTTCATCTAGCGAGAGGATCGCGCGCTGGCGCAGCCTGGCGCCAGCGCGCGCTGCGATGTCAGCCGGCGCGTGGGCCGCTATGGCGCTACTTCGCCATGATCAATCTAGCGTCGGTGCTCAGGGGCGCGATTTGGCTTGCCATCGTCAGCGCCGACGCCGTGGCGCTCTGAGGGCTACTCAGGAGATCCATGTTGCTCACGCCGAACTCCTTCGGGCTCTTCACCGCGCGCGCATTCAGCACGCTGTATTTCTCGTTCCCCGGCGCGAAACCAGAGGCGCTGCCCCTGTTGGCGGCGCCGCTGGTGCGAGGCGTCAGGTTCGGCACGAAGTATTTGCCCGTGGCAGTGCGCGGCGTCTTAGGGTTTCTGGCGCACCTGCTGGCGCGCGTTGTCCTTCCTGCAGCGCCGTCGTCTACGACGGGTGGAACTTCGGCATCTCTGACAGCGATCGGCACATGTGGCTCGGCCGCGTGGAGAGCGATCTGCCGCGGCTGAAATGGCCCGGGACAGGGTCGCCGTGATTCTCCTTCGCGATTTCACTTGCGATGGCCAGCTTCCCACGTGTCCGCGCGCCCCCGAGATCGATCGTCGCAGAGGAGCTGACGCCGGCGATGCGAGCCTTCGTCTTCGCGCGCGTCAGCGGCGCGAGGTATTCGCAAGGTCGATGAACTTGGCGACGAGCTGCCGACGCATTTCGCGTTTGGGGAGTGGCCGCCGAAGTCGGCGAATATTGGCAGGGTTGTTTTGCTTTTTCCTAACTGCAGCACCGCGTCGCGGCCAGCAGCCTTGACGCGATGGGGGGCTCAGTGATCGCGCGCCTGCGATTGCGGCCGCAGCGGCGCGCCCGAGTGCCTCCGTGGACTGACGGGCCACCCCTCTGCGCGCTTTCAAAGATCCCGACGTCAAGTGCCAGCGCGACACCCCCATTGCCGTCGCCCCGCCCCTCGCAGGAAGAAGACCAGGCCAGGCGCGCCGCAGAGCGAGACTAGCAGGCCGAGGAACGGACGGCCCGCAAGTTGGTAGAGCAGCGAGCGCTCGGCCTCCAGACCCCGCGCGGCAGTGGACCACCCGGGGGTCGCTACGTGGGCGAGCTGCCCCGCGAGCTTCGCGA